TGACAACGGTCCTGTTTTCCTTTGAGCAAATATATATATATATATATATATAGCAAGGACACTTTGCTTCACGCTGAAGGGCATGCTGTTCTCGAGTGAGTCTTGCGATTCTTCCGCTTCATATTACTTTTGGGATGTAAGAGGGATCATGTGTAGACTTCGGTTCGTCGTAACTCAGTACAAATTCCCTTGGCATCGCAGTGTGCGTCCAACTCCAGTGTCTTGCTGTAGCCGTTCAGCACAGCCGTCTTCTTGTGCTTTTTCACATTTGGGTGCAGAAGTCGGTGCGGATCAACAGATCTCCAATCGGGGGTTGTTGACTATGTCCTACACATCGTAGTTCTTTTGCTTCTTGTCATGTTCATCCTGGCGCATGCCAAAGGTTTTCGGATGAACAAAAACGAGCGAAAAGCCGAACAAAGCGCACTTGTGCTGCCGCACTTGTGCGGCTGAGATGAAGATTCACAATCCGCTGAGATCAATCTGGAAAGGTTTGGTGGGATTCGTATTATTTGATTGCACGGCACTTACCTCATCTTTTACCTCTAGCCTCTAGACTCTAATAGACTCTAGAAGCACAGGGGTGCGTCAAAGTTTGTCCTGAAAAAAGAAGAATGGGACAGTTCTGGGATTGCGGGTTCTGGAGTCAGAAGGTGGGTTTGGTCTTCATCCCAATTCTGAGACCCTTCTGAACGGAGGCAGAGGCACTCTGGGTCCATTCTGATCCGAAAAAGAGCGAACTTTTCGCCACCGGGTGCTTCAATTAGGCTGTATGATAAGCATTCTTTCAGCTGTTTTAGGGGGAATTGATGAAACACACCCACTCCAATCGATCGCTGTGTTCATATTCGATCGAACCGAGCCCCACGGGACATGGTTGGCTCGCCACGCGCCGCGTCTTCTCGCGCTCGCGCCGTCGAGCCTCCCGGTCGTGAGGCCTTGGCGGAATACCAGCCTTGCTACGATCGCTCGAAGAACACCTGCCACAAGGAGGCAACGAGCCAGCGGGTGTCTTCTGTCGGCGACGGCGGATATTCACACTTTTTTTTTGGTCATCTATAGTCTTCGAACTAATGATACATGATGTATGTGTGTGTTTTTGTTTTTTGATCAATCATGGTGACCTCAAATGGCAGATGGACTACTGTAATTTTTCTTGGACACCCAGCACTGTTGGAGTACGGAGGGTAATTTGATATGTGCATTTACATGCCATTGATGCTGTCAAAACATGTCTTTCTCCCGCTTCCAGCTCGTACCCCAGGAAGATGGTACAGCGCCGCCTCTGCATAAATAGAGCGAGCTATTCGCCTTGGACTCCATTTTGGGGGAGTACTTGGAGACAGGTGCACATGCAGGTATTCATCTCTTTGTATGTACCAACCCCCTATGGATCCACGAACCTCAGAAGGTGAGCAGGGAGATGTCCTTCGAAGGTGGTGATGGCAGTGGATCCATAGGGAACCTCCAGTCGACATGTTGGTCATGGTGGACTCTTTGTGGACCCGTTTTCTCTCCAGCTTTTGCCGTCCGACGCTTGGGCTCGAGCGAGCGCTTCACACGGCGTCCGCGAAGCAGAGAGCCAGACGCAAGCTGAGAGGCGAGAGTGGGCGAGAGGGATTCAGGGTGAAGTTGACGAACATCATTGTTGTTCTGGTTGTGGTTGTACTTGTTGTTGCTGTTGTGATGGTGGTTCTTGTTTCGCTTGTTGTTGTTCTTGTTCTTGTCGCCGTTGTTGTGTTCTTGTTGTTGCGGTGGACAATGGGTTCATCATCCCAGACACTCCATGTACGCCATATATGCGTACGTTGATCCCCCAAACCACCCCAACATGCCGATCAGTTGGGGTGGTTTGAGGGATCAATGTACGCGTATATGACATACATGGAGTGTCTGAGTCATGTTTGTTTGTTCCTTCCTTTCTCTAACTTTTGGTGGTTCTGCTAGATGCCGACCAGCGGCCGGGGCGAGAGTTCGAATGGTCTGGTCATGTCTGGCCTCCCAGTGTCCGAAGCCCTCTCGTGAGTCGATCCTATAGTCTAAAATACAATACTATTTGAGGGTCTATCTATGCCTGTGAAATTCAAGTTGCCTATGCTATCATGACATGCGCCAGTTGGGCTTGGATGAGTTCTTCATCAATTCTGTAGATCAAGAAATTTTTTAAAACAGACTCTGGATAAAAATTGACTCTGGGATGTCTTTGGGAATGTTACTAATAATGTATTTCAACACCAGCACCCCAGCACAGCCCCTGAGCAAAGGCTGTAGGTGGCAGCCTGTCAGAACACAAGTCAAATCCAGATTATCGTGTGAGAATGAACACAAAACTGAACCAAAGCGCAGCCACACACTTTTCTCACATAGTCCGGCGGTCTCGGGGTTGCAACTACTTGAAGGCTATGAGACATCTCCGGTCATGGAGATTTCTACACAAGAGCATCAGCTTGACTTCAAGCGGAAAGAACAACATGAGAACCTCAGTACCACACCAAGGCTCATCAAAAAGTCCGACGCGAGCCCACTCAGCAAAAGCAGCATCTGTGGAAAAGGGCTCAATCCTTGGCTTCGCAGACTCAGTACCCATAAATCCTGTCTATGCAAACTTGTCATTGTCAAGACTAGAGTCGGCTCAAGGCAAAGATCTTGAAGCTGCAAAGCCTCCACAAAGCGACTCATCTCCTCCGCTGACATCAGGTCACTCTTCCACATCATAGTGAATGGGTATCGAACACGTTCACCCATGTTGCACAGTGACTCCCCACAAAGCCTTGACCCAAAAACTGACACATGTCAAAAGCAAATGCCAACAAATGTCAACATCCAAAAACTGTCAACAGCAACAAAGCTTGAGTCCGGAGGACAAAAGTCGGATCTGAACCTTTTGAAGCTCAGGGCATCAAACAGTGAGTGCGGGAGCTTGTGCCGCCAGCATTGGCGGGTCGAGTCCGGCGGACAGGACAAGGTTGAAGCTCCCCAAACAAAAGGTGGGGACCAGATCAGGGGGGTCTAGACCGGCTACCTGTTCATTTGATGTGTAGGGGGAAAACTTAGAGAATGTGTGGGAAAGTGTTTTGCGCTTTCTGCCGTTGATCTTCGCAAAATCTAGAAAATTTCTTTCGTATGCAAATTTAACTTTAGCTGTCTTTGTTGTTGTCTGGTAGATCTTGTGTTGAATTTGTAAAATTGTTGTACCATCTATTAGATGTAAATGTTTTGCCTTGTATCAAGTGTTTGGAGCCTTCGTTCTTTGTCGATGTGTGGTGATGTGCTGTGACCTACACTTAAAAACTTAGACCTTCCTTTGAACAGGTTTTGCGTGGCTTTGTCGCTTTCCGCCGGACATCACATCATGACACGCGATCATGCAATCATTTTTTACTTCGCCGGACTTTGCAAATCAAATATTGAGCTTGTTAAGTTTAGATTATATATATGATGTTCACTGCATTTTCAATAACTTCTAAAACAAAGCACACAAACACTAAGTAAATGTCGGACGCCATTCGATTTGCTTTGGAAGCGCTATGGGTTCGTCGAAAAAACTCACTACAACAAATTCAATTTGACCGCAACAAATGAAGCCATGAACAAGTACACAACTCAATTAGAGTCAGGGTCCGTCTGACGGAACGTGACTAACCGTAGTCAGTCGAGTCAGGCCGGTAAAGTCTGTCCTGCTGCTTGCTGATTCCCAGAGCAGATGACAACAGAAGGCACTCCCTCATCATCGTAGCGCTGGACCCCAAGCTCCTGGGTCACAGTTCTTGGCTATCACCCTAGCAATGACACTTCAATGAACTTGGCCCGACTTGTGCCAATACCGTACCCAATAATATAATTTGGGGCACCAACATCATGTGATGTCATTGAATCATATGAGTAGTTATTGTTATTGGTATTAGTCCATACACCTGTCCTGTTCTGCAAAGAGATACTTCTCCTCCGTAGTCCCCCAGTCTTGAACGTTGAACCCATGCTCTGTCAAGAAGTAGGCATCCAGGGGCTGCACCTCACCTTCATTGTAAAGGTCCGTGTAGCGCTCTTCCTTTTTGAGCACTGAGAGGTCTATCTTCTCGTGCTGTTTGCGCACTGGCTGAGCGTTGTACTCGCGCTTGCTCTCCCAAGTGTTGTTCAGCTCCTGCAAACATGCTGACTCCGACTCGGTGGCCCTTACTACTACCAAGCAAGGACGCTACTAGGGTCTTCTGGCATCGCTACTAGGAGCAAGAACATTACTAGGGGCTCCTGGCCTTACTACTAGTGAAGTTACTAGTGGCAAGGACGCTTCTCAACTGATTCTCAAATTCTCAACCGGACCGGTTCTGTTTTTTGAGACTGGAGTCCCCATCCAAGCGAGCCCTTCCGACCCATCGAGCAAATCGACGCGCAGCGAGAGAACAACAAAGAACTTGAACTAGGGGCTCCTGGCCGTACTACGAGGAGCAAGTAAGTAAGAGTATTTTGCTTCCCGACTCAATCTTCGACCATGGCCCTGGCTATACCGATACCGTTACCTACTTCACTCATCCAATGCCTACTTCGCCCCATTGTTTTCCATCCACGTTGAACGGGTCCGGGACGGTCCAGCGCACTCCAGCGGGACTGCAGCGCGATTTCATTCCAAGATCCACTGCCCTACATCCGATCGTGGTCACACAAACCAAACCACCAACATGAACCCTGACACAAGAACGAAAAAACAACCCACACACACTGATCATCGGAGCTGAGCTATCTCACCTATGTGACCGACGACCGGCCAGCAGGATCAATTCTGCTGCTCGGCTCTGCTCGCAGCAAATCAAGCCACAGCAATTCGTGGCTGTCGCGGTCGCGAAAACTCCAAACCACATGGCTTCAATGAACAGGGCTCGGTCACAGACAGGTCCAGTCTGGTCTAGATAGTCTAGTGTCCAGTCTAGTGTAGTCAGTGTAGTCAAAGTCTAGTCTACAGTCGACAGTCTACAGTAGTCAGTACTCGACAGTCTACAGCAGTCTACAGTCTACAGTTGATGGAAGTTCACCTTGAAGTCAACGTGCCATTCATGTGACCGACAAGCAATTCCCTTGGCTTTCTGCCAAATGTATCTAAATGAAAATGTACATTTTGGCAGTCTGCCAACATTCCGATTCCAGGATTCAAAGATGACTCAATCATCCTCTGGAACAAAGACGATCGTCCAACCATCCTCATCCTCCGCCACCGCCGCAGGCAACGGCAAAGGCCTTGCAAGTCGCGCAGCAGGAACTGACACCAGGTGCAGGCGCTGGAGCCATTCATCACCGGTGAATGGTTGGTTGAGTTGGTTCAAGATCATCCATCCAATATAGTGCATCGTGCGGCAGTGGATCTTCTGGTCGACCGCTTGCATCGATGTCCAGGTCTCAGCATATAGTGAACAAGAGTGAACACAGTTAATATTTAAAGTCCACGGCTATTCAAACAACACAATCGACAATTGCTCACACTCGCACAGCGGCATCCCAACCCAAACAACGCACAAACAGTCAAACAGCCCACTTGTTTCCATTCAAGTCGCAGACCGGCCATCATCGTAGGCGCATTGAACACTGAACTTCAAGTCGTGTTTCTTGACCTGCGGCGAATCCTCGCAGGCAAAGGACTTGAAGCAAATCGCTGGAAGCGCATCATCATCCACTGCCATCTCCCAGGTTCCGCAGGAGCCGATAGCGAGGCGTTTCGTCCTACAAAGAACAGATCAACTTGAAACACCCTGACCCTCCCTGAAACAAAGTGGAATACAGCCTGTTCGTAGAGGAAAACAGTCTTGCAAGGGGCCATGTTTGTTGGATGGAGGGTAAGTTGAATGAGATGAAATTTCCAATGAACAATGTCTGACTCTGACTCTGACTGTTTGACTTAAACTCAGTCAGGCTTGCCGCGCCTCGTTTCACGTTGGAATACGATTTGGCCTTCCTTGGAAGGGGCTGAACCTAGCTGATCTCCACCTCCACTGAAGTGACCGTGCACAAGGAACACCCACTCGTGTCGTCTTGAGCTCGAGTGGTGATAGAATTTGAACACGGACACACGCGGCATGGCCAATCGAGGGATGAGTCTGATGCGTGCGGTCAATTGATATCAGTTGAGTCAGTTGCGTGTTGCAAACTGTAGTCACTCCCATACCGGTTACTGTCAACCAGTTGAGGAGGCTCTGCTACTGTAGTTCATTGTTGGTTACTGTAGTTGGACAGTGACATGGATAGATGATCGATGGAAATTGTCATTCACCAACCATGTGGCTCCAAAATCGCTGCAATTGAAGCAAATGCAATCGAATTCTAAAGAATGAATCATGAATCGTGCGCGCACCCTGACCGGAGAGTCCTCATTCTCATCCTTCATCGTGTTCAGTGTTCTTTGAGCAATTCCTCCGAAGTTCTTGACTCTGGTCACCTTGGAGAGAGATACTGAGAGACTGAATACGATAATATGACTCATGCCCGTCGAGGTCGATCGATGTCCGGCGATGTCAACGATGACCAATGTCCGTCGTACTCAAAACAATGAAACATGAAGAGCTGCCAGCAGTCTTTTGCGCTCATGGCCATTCAGGGCTCACTGGTTGATTCCAT